GGTGTGGTGCTCTGCCCGTGGGATGGCATTGGTGCTGGGTCCCCTTGGAGCTGTGCAGGGAGGGACTGCAGTGGGCTGCAGGGAAGAGAATGAGACTGACTGGCGGCTTGGGCTGATAACCTGGGAGCAGCTACTGGCCTGAGATAGAGTGTGAGCAGTCCTCTAAGTTTTCCTTGGAGGTCACCGCCGCGGGGGCTGCGGCGCCTCCGGGTGCAGACTCTGTGCGCGTGCGGGGACCCCGCACCTCGCTCTGTCAGCTTTCCTCCTGTCCCCGAGTCGTCGCTTTCTAGTTAATTCCGAAGTGGCCCCGGGGCGTTTGCACACTAAACCCATTAACCGGTAATTACCCACAGGGCGTCGAGGTTTAAAGGTGGAGCGTAGTAGATGAAAGGAACCGTGCTATCCCATGGTAATGTCTGCTGTTCTCACCGTTTTGCATTTTCGCATTTTTTTAATTGAGGGCCGGGATTGCAAAGGGTGCCCCGCCCGGCCCCGCGCCACTAGCTGAGCATCGCCCACACACATTTTGATTCTGTTTTGAAGATTAGTTCAACTTTAAATAACAGTACTAGTAGTTTTTAAAGCACAAGCTTGTCGTCTTTTTATTTTTAAGCATTGGGTAGTCATATTTTCTTTTGATTATTTAATTGTTTTTCAGGAGCCGTTTTCAGAATGAAAAATGGCATGTTCTCCCTTTTTTTTTTTTTTAAATGCCGAGGAATACACCTAGTCCCTAGAGCTGGCCCAGGCTCTGGTGATAAGGAAGCTGACACAGATTTAGAAAACCTGCTTTGACTTGATGACCCTTTTAAAATTTTTTCGGCAGGTGATAACCTTCCTAGAAATTTGGTATTTTATATAGTATGCCGGAAAATTGTTCGCAGTTTTGTGGGCCTGTGTGTGTGTGTGTGTGTGTGTGTGTGCGCGCGCGCGCATGTTTAAATAAGAAAAGAACATAAGGCCACTATAAAGTTCCCTTTTCAATTAAAATGATGCTGGCCTCTAAGTTTTCCTTAAAGTAGCAGTTTTGTACAGAGATGGAAAGTAGGTTTAGTAAGACCATTAGAAAAAAAAACTGAGGCCTTTTATCCAGTACAGGGATTCGAAGTCTTTTATTTATTCCTTCAAGATTTGTTAAGAATCTGTTTTGTGCCAGGCCTTCTACCAGGTGATGGGGATAAGGAGAGAGCAGACGATCGTGTGAGCTCTGCGTGGGCAAATGGCCACGTCATCACAGTAGTGTCATGGAGTTGGGTGCAAATTGCTGTAGGAGCCCAGAGTGGAAATAAATAGTAATGCGACACCAACGTTTATTGAATACTTATTCGTGAGAGGCACTGTGCAGCGTATTTTGCGTGCAGCCTCTTCTTGAATCGTCACAACAATCTCATGAAGTAGCTACTGTCATTTAGAAATGAAGATATAGGCTTAGGGACCTTGACCCGAGTCATAGCTGATATGGCGGGAACCTGGGATTTCAGCTCGGGGGTCCGACTCATCTCAGTCACCGTCTCAACCACTGATGCGGTTCTCTGTAAGGAGAGCAGGCCAAGTCTCCAGTGTGATGTGACATTTGACTTGTGCTGAGAAAGTTGAGGAAGCTTTCACTGGAGACAGGATGAGGAAAGGCATTCTGGGCAGATGGCACAGCCTGCCTTTGGGACAGGCGTGAGTCCTTTGAATTTGGGGAACCATAGGCCATTCTCATGACTGAATCTCAGAGTACTTGCAGTGTAGTGGGAGAGGCCAGATCTTCAAGTGTTTTGTAATCTGATAAAGAGTTTAGAATTTTTCTTCCACGTGGGGTGACCACTGCCGAATTTCAAATGGAGTACTGTGTGTATTTTAGAAAGAAAACTTTAGCTCTGGTGTGCAGAACGGACCTAGGAGAGATGAGTGGTGATGGCGAAACCAGTTTTAGAAAAGAAAATACAAAGTCCAGTAGAGAAGTGAAGAGACTCTGAACTCTGCAGTTGGAGTTACAGAAAGAGACGGATTGTAGACATATTTAAGAGGTAAAATTGATAGGACTTGATAAGAGTTTGGATGTCAGGGGCTAGAAAGAAGGATGAGTGACAGGATTGGAAAGTGATCGAAATGAGGGGCAGGTGTGTAGGTGAAAGGTAAAGATAAGTCAGTTCAGTTCTGAGTATTCGTTCAAGGTTCCTGCAGGGAAGGATGCATTTGGGTGTGGAGTTGGAGAGAGCCCAGGGTGGGGCGCATTTGCATGGAGGTAGGTGGTGAAGTTGGGGGCCGTGTGTGTGTGTGTGTGTGTGTGTGTGTGTGTGTGTGTGTGTGTGTGTGTGTGAAGGAAGTTCCTAAGGACCAGCTCCCATAGGAGGAATGTGTAGACATGAAGAAGCAGCCACAGCTACAGGGTGTGTGTGTGTGTGTCTTGGGGGGCTCTTTTGAGAGGAAGTGGGGGAGGAGCTCACACAGGATGCTGAGACGTGAGGAGGCAGCGAGGAAGGACGGAGCGCTTGCATGAAAGGGAGCGGGGAGTGGCCCGAGCGTGCAACGGTGGCCAGTGGGTTCAGTGCCGACGGATCATTTCTAAACTTTGCAGAAATGAAAAGGAGTCTGAGTTTAGGCTGTTTGGGAAAGAAAAGTTTAAAATTTCCCATAGTAGTACATATCAACAGAAAATACAACAGCGCACCCCCGTGCAGGCGTCCGCCAGCGTGAAGCATGAACACAGCCCGTTTCCTTCCATCTGTAACCTTTGTCCCCAGCTGGATTATTTTAAAGCTAAACTCAGATATCGTATCTTTTATTCTGTAATCATTTAAATATGTATCTTTATAAGGTAAGAGTTATTTTTATAAATATAACTAGTGTTATCCTAATTTAAAAAAACTGACATTACTTTCTTAATATAAAATTTCCGGTCACACTTCTTTTTAAAGAAGCTTGACTATGAAGAAAAGAGATGAGGCAGTAATTAAAAAAGGTTTGCAGTTTTTTTTTTAAGATTGACAGACTTTTAAGGTTAGTCAATAAAGAGGAGATGCTTGAAGATGTCGGAGATGGAGATGATGGAGCCGACGGAGGTCCTGGGAAGTGCCCGCAAGGATAGCTTGAGGGTACAGGGTTGTCTGGACCTAAGTCGTTATGTTTTGTGAGCATCAGCTAAGTGCTTCTGGGTTCCTGGGGGTGTACTCGTGCCTACAAGAGGGGAGAGGCTCCGAAAAAGGAGGAAAAAATATGAGAACAGAGGATATTTATAGGTTGGGTGCTAGAAGGTGAGGCAGTTCAAAGCTTAAGTTCTCAGAGGTGGAGGGGCGTAAAGGCCAGCTGAGGAGTTGGGGGGTTTGGCATAGCCACTGGAAGAGGGACTGAGCTGGGACGAACGAGTAGGAATCATGTCACTGAGCTGAGTGAGGTTAGAATTCAGTCATCAGAGCGAAACACGAGGTGGTGTGATTGTTTCCTTGAGTTCCGGTTGATTGGTTGACTGCGAGCTTAACGCGTGGAGGAATCCAGCAGCCTGATATGTTACAGAGAAGAGAGTCCGGGCTGAGGACTTCGCACCGGTTCGGGGTTTGTTCATTTAAGTGCTAATTGTCTGCTTTGTGGCTGTGTCACAGAAAAACTAGGCAGCGTTACGGAGCGTTTGGATTGCTGCTTTGTACTTTATTTCTCAGCACGTGCAGTGGCGTGTCACAGAGCACGTGCCTGGGGCAGGCACCGAGCGGCGTAGTGGACAGGGGCCCCTGCTGTCTTGCTCTGCGGCTTCAGCTTGTTTTCTCTGCGGTCACGGGCAAGTTTACAGACCTGTTCCCTAGTCAAAAAGGTGCAGATGCTGTCCGTTTTCTAAGGTCGGTGGGAGGATGAGACAGTAGTGGACCTCCACGGCTGAGGACCTTGCTCCGTCCCTTCTCTCCTCCTCACTAAGCCTGGCAGGTCGTCATTTCTGTTTGACAGAAGGCCACGTTCTGGGACTTCACCTGACCATACGAGGCTGGTAGGTCAGGTAGTGGTTACAGTACAAATCGATTTGATCTACGAAAGAGTTCATCAGTTCTTTTAAATGAGGCTTCCTCGTCGCTACAGAATGTCACTTTAGAGACCAGTAGTAGTGACATCTTTGCCTTGGTATCATCTTCAAAGAAACAGGCAGTTCCACGACATGATTTGAGATCCCAATAGCCGTAAAATTCTTTGATTCTCTGACTATATCTCATTTCTGGACTGATTTAAATGAACGATTTCACTGATATTTGAGCATCCATTTATAAATGAAAACATATATATTTTAATGTACTCAGCGTTATTTTAAACATTTTCTCTTCTAGATAACTATAGTCGTATACGATAGACCTAGTGAAAGCATGCCTTAGTAAGAGTCAGGTCCGTATAGGCGTTTGCCAGATGGATTGAGGCATAGGTTTGTGAGAGTAGTAAAGATGGATTCGTTTTTTAAGGCGAGTTGTTTAATCTCTACCAGCTGTCTTTAAAGATGTTTCTTTTGCTAGGGGCGCTTTGACTGTGGTCCTGTTTAAAGGTATAGAGGTGGAATAAATGACCTTGGAGGTCCCTGTCTGACTTTGTAATCCTAAATTAGTAATTGTCCGTTAATAGTTTTCGATCAAAGGCTCCCGTTAAGCCTCACTTTTTAGTGAGCTTTAGTTTGACACTTTTATTCTTTTAAAATCATTCTCGCACAAAGATCGTTTTTGTAAACACTTCTAGTTCATAATGACATCTGCCTTGTTTTGCATTTGTGCTTAGTAACTGACCACCGGCCTTGAACGCTTGGGGTGAGAGCGATGCAGACACCTGCCAAGCACATGCTCGTTTGGGTTCAGGAGACGGTGCGGGCCTCTGCCAAACCTGCCGGCTCGCAGGCAGGACCGGGCCCCCTCGCTCGGCAAAGCCTCGGTGGTGTGCCCGCCCTGTTTCCTCGGAGACAGCCTGCAAAGAACATAGCGTGCTGTTTCTAACTCTCGTAACTGACATGCGTTTCAGGGACGAATAATGTAACTTCGTGTGTCGTGTTTCATGTCTCGTTCTCTTTTATTCCTCTGTCTGTGTGTGGCTTTATACTCGAGTGTCCTTTTTGACGATTTGCCCTTCTTTTCATTTTTCTTGGCCATTAGGAGGAAGGAAGAGAAAGTGAATGAGCGATCAGTAGGTTGTATTGTATTTTTCTCGCCCACTTCTGGGGAATGTGGATGAAAAGGTGTTTAGCACACCCTTCCTGATGTGAACGTGGGGACTTTTATGCTCCCCTTTCTGCCCCTGCGTCGTAACGCCACGTGGCCTTACAGCGTCTTCCGTTTATGCGGGTATTTTCTACACGGCATAGGTGCCTGCCAAATAGTGTAGAAGGGGTGACACGTGTGCGAGTGAATGGATATGATGATACATTACTTGTTTAAATGCTACTTGATAAAGAAAAATGAAGCAGACGGTTTTGAAAGGTTTTATATTATTTGAAACATTATGAAATGAAGGAACAATAGTATTTAATTATACAGGCAATTGGAACAAAGTACATTATTTCATCTCTCTAATTAGCTTTTATTTTTATTTTTCGATGAGCTGTATGACTTTAAGGAGTCGATGTATTTTGAAGCGTTTGGGGCTTTAGAGGATGATGAGCCGACAGGGCAGGCTGTGAGTCAGACACGTCCAGGTGCAAATCGAGGCTCTGCGTAGACTTACATTCTTTAAAGCTTCCGCCCCCCCCTTCCCGTAAGTGGGGGTGCCCATTTTTATTTGGGACTGTGGGGAGGATTAATCGAGGTGATGACTGGAAAGCCATTTTCATCCCATTGCCCGACGTGGAGTGAGCACTGTATCATTGTCACTGTTATTTCCATGCCAAAAAGAGTCTTTATGCACTTAAAACTTGTAGCTTAAGCTGCCATCTTGAGACAGAGAGGTGGACGATAAGCATATCCTGTCTTTTGTAATGTTTCGAAGGTTCTGGTGGAGTTTTTTACGTGGGCAGAAATCGTTGTGATGGTTACTTCTGAAAAACATTTAAGCTCTGAGAATTATCTGTGTAGATTCCTTTATTCTACACGGCATAGATGCCTGCCAAGTAGTGTAGAAGGGGTGACACGTGTGTGAGTGAATGGACAGTTATTTTTCTGTTGCTCAAGTATTTAAGAAGTGAGCGCAGGTAAGGAGACAGATCGAGGGCTTCACGGCCACCTCTGGGTGCGGTTAAGTCGTGTCTCTGGGGGGTGTGTTTGAGTGGGTGTGTGGGTGTGTGTGTGTGCAGGGGTGTGTGTGGGGGGTGTGGGGGAGTATATG